ACGCCGTCGGCCCGCGCATGGCAGAGAGGCAAGGCCTCATCTTAAAGGCGGCCCGGCTGCTCAGAAGCCCTCCTCCTCCTCCTCCTCCTCCTCCTCCTCCTCCTCCTCTCCTCCCCTCCTCCCCCTCCTCCTCGTCCTCCCCCTCCTCCTCCTCCTCCTCCTCCTCCTCCTCCTCCCCTCCTCCTCCTCCTCTCCTCCTCTCCTCCTCCTCCTCCTCCTCCTCCTCCTCCTCCTCCTCCTCCTCCTCCTCCTCCTTCTCCTCTCCAGCCTTCTGAGAAGCCGCCCGTCCTGGGAGAGAGAGAACCCCGCAGAACCCTTCTCGGAAAGCCGGAAGCCTTCGGAGGCCTCCCGTGAAGGCCCGACCCCTCGGCCTTCCCCCCCGCGCTCGCCGCAGGATGAAGTACGAGAAAGACCTCTTCAGACATGCAATGCCCTGACTTTTGTGCAGCTCGCGGCCCGCTGGAGGTCTAGACCCCTTCCCCAAGACCGGTTTTGTATCTGGGTCGTCCTTTGACAGTCCCGAGGCCCGGCGACGGCCCCCGAGGGGCGAGTGTTCTGCTTGATGTTCCCGTATTTTCTTATGGTATGCTTTGTTGTTCGTTGTGTCTTGCTTTGCGTGTTATTCTAGCACATCGTTTTCAGGGATCTGCTACAAGAGTGTAGTACCATGCAGATCTATCGCAATAATTTATGTGCAAAGTCCGAACACAAGCCATTCTGTTGCACAGCCGAACAGCAAGGATTCGAGTTGTAATCCGCACAACGAGAATTAAGTTGTAATTCGCCTGCAAGAGCCCTGGCTGCAAAGCCGCGCAAACGGGAGTCGATATGTCATTCCCGCTAGGAGCCATCATGTAAGTCGCCAGCACACATAATCGTATTACAAAGCCGCAGAAATTGTACTCTACCTGGAACCAACACGAAATGGGGAGCGAGAGAGAGAGAGAGAGAAACAGTTAGTGATATACAATGGTCGAGAGGCAGCAAGTTAGCAGGAGAGAGGAAGAGAGAGAGAGAGAGAGAGAAACAACACAACAAACAACAAGAGAGAGAGAGAGAGATAGGATGCGAGGGGAAATAGAGGTGGAGAGGGGGGGAGAGAGAGGGATACATACATATATATATATGTATAAAGAGAAAGAGAGAGAGAGAGAGGGATATATATATATATAAACAACAGCCAAACATTATTTTTTTTCGAGCGATCCCCACCGAAACCTTCGGCGTTTGTTCCCAACGGTGCGCGCGCCTACTGGAACGATGTGCGCGGGGCCCGGCGGTCTCGGCCAGCACAGCGGCCGGGTCAGGTCGCAAATGGACGTTGTCCGAAAGTCCAACCCAAGGCCCCTGACGAAAGAAACCGAAACAAGACCCTGGAGCGGCAAACGGGCTCCCGAAACGAGTCTTGCGAGACCCCAAAACTTGTTCGGAGAGAGTCTGCAGCCGGTTGAAAGAGGAAGAAGAGCAGCAGCAGCACAAGGAGGTGGACGACGAAGGAGGAGGAGAAGGAGGAGGAGGAGGAGGAGAGGCGGACCTGTTCTTCCTCCTCCTGCTCTGGACGCTCCGTCTTCCTCTGACGACGGGGCGCATGTCTCGCTTGATGAGACGCCGTGACGTGGTGGCTGGCGTATACATACTATTGTGATTTGTTCTGTTCGGTTCGATTCTGGCCCAACGTAGTACATGACATTACGTTATGTTAGATTATGTTGTGGACTGGCTGGCGTGACGCCGTGACGCCCTTCACGCTTGTTATGGTTTCTAATCGGTCATTGCTGTTACTGTCGGTTTATGTGGCCGTCCTGGGCTTGGCGCGCATGTCGCGTATGATAGGCCGCCCGTGCTCGGTCTCTGCTGAATTCTAGTCTACCGCGTTGTGTTCGGTTCTGTTCTGTCCTATGCACATATGTTTGTTTCTATTCTGATCTCGACAGGGCGGCGTGACGTCGTGACGCCTGTCGCGTTTAACGTGTCGTCTAATCGGTCGTTGTCGCGCCTGCTTTTCTTGTGACCAGGCGCGGATGCTCGTGCGCCCTTGTTTTGTCGTTGCTGTCTCTAGCAGCAGTCAATTATGTTTTGCTCGGCAAGGCTCTACCCTGCTATGCTACAAGCTGATCTGTCGTAGTGTCGACGGGGCGGTGTGACGCCGTGACGCGTGCCACGTTAGATACTTCGTCCGATCGCTCATTGCTGCGCCTCTTTGTACCTGTGGCCGGGCTGACTTGGCGCGCACGTCGCGTTTGATTATGTTATAATGCGGCCCAGTATGCTATGAAGTTCCTCTTCAAGTTGATGTTCCTCTTCTGTTTAAGTGTGCTCTGTTATGAACACCTCTGTCGTTGTGAGGTGTGATATGCTATGATATGTTCTGCTCTGCGGCACCACGTTGTGACATGATACGCACGTTTTGTCAGGCTCGTTTCTGTTATGCTATTCTCTGTGATGCTGTTCAGGGTATGCTCGGTTCGTTATAATCTATTTCATGAAGTTATAGTCAAACATGTTATATGTATATCGTTGGCGTAAGGGTAACCATAGTACAACATATATGTTGTATCATGCCAATTTTGATGTGCACTCGCTAAATGATGCTGTTTTGGGGACGTTCTATTACGTCGTGCTCTATTATGTATGTGTTTTTTTTCTCGACGGGCTGGCGTGGTGCCGTGACGCTGATTATATAGCAGTACCATGAATTATGTTGTGATGAAATGCTTTGTCGTGCTATGAAATGCTGTGGGTCTGTGCTATGCTATGGCGTGCTATGCCATTGTGTGAAATGTTAAGCTCTGGTCTGTTGCGTTATGGTCTGGTGTGCACTGCCCTCGCTTGATATGATGTGTGGTGGTATGGTCAGTTTTCGGTGCTCCATGGTGATACTGCATGCGTTGTCATGGTGTGTCCTGGCATGTTCCGTGCTGGTATGCTATGAACTGGTATGCGTTGTTGTGGTATGCTGTGGTAATCTACTATGTATTGTGATGATATAACATGGTATCCAGCGCTTTGCCATGGCATGATGTGTCATGCTATCGAATGGCATGTGCTTTGATGTTGTGCTACGATGTGATATGCTTTGCCACGGTATGGTATGATATGATCTGCATGCCATCGTCTGTTATGGTATGCTCTGTTATGTTATGGTATGAGATGTGGTGTAATGCTCTGATCGTTACGAGCCGTTATGCCATAGCTTATGGTGTTATGATATGCTATGTACTGCTACGGTGTAACATAGTATGCCGCGCTCTGCCGTGTTATGATATGCCATATGTTCTGCGATGCTGTATGGCATTAGATATGCGCTGTGCTGATGAGTTCTGTTACGTGGGTTATATTATGTATGTTATGTTATGATATGGAATGCCATGCTCTGTTAGGTATGATCTATTATGTCATGTAGTGTGTGTGTGTTCCAGTCAAGCAGAGCACGCGTTCTTATGCTGTGTGTTGTGGTATGCCGTGCTGTGTCTTTTTTATGTGAGGCGGTGGCATGCTCTGTTGTGGTTTGCTCAAATCTGCGATGCTTTATTGTGGTATGAGTGCTGTGCCATGCTATGTAATGGTATGCGCTGTGATGCTGTGCTATGGTATGCGGTGCTACGTCGGGGTGTGCTATGATACGACCTGTTATGTCAAGATATGGTACGCTAGGCTCGGATATGTCATGTTAGGTGGTGTGGTGATATGCGCTGTCCTGTCATAGCTAATCGTGTTGTGCTGTACTAGGTTCTGATATGATATAATGCCGCTCTGTCATTTTCTGATGTGTCGGAGCGGAGCGGGATACTCGGGGGCGCTCGGGGGGGCCTGGGGATCTGGCGGCCGCGGTACGCAGAGGGACGCAAAGATCGAGAGAGAGAGAGAGATAGAGAAAGGTAACAACACATCAAAATCATTACATATATGTATATATAAAACATAAAAAAAAGATAACAACGAAATATAACCAGCCTGGCGAAGGACCCAATCATATGCAGTTGTTAGTACCGTCGTCGTATGCACGGCATTCGGGGCAGCTCCCTATACGGCCACGAAAAGTGTGAGGTGTGTATGTGTGTGTGGGTGCCAGAAAACTGTCCGGTGGGCGCATGCGAGAGCAACCATTTGGGCCGTCGGTGGAGCTCCCTATGGGGCCACGAAGCGCGTGCGGGGTGTGCCGAAATGGGTGCAGTGGGCGCATGCGAATGTAGCCACTGGCGCCTTCGGTGGAGCTCACTATGGGGCCACGAAACGTGTGAGGGGCGTGACGACATGGGTGTGGGGACGCATGCGGTCGGTTGCACTGGGGCCTTCGTTGGAGCTCCATTTGGGGCCACGAAACGTGTGAAAGGTGTAATGAAATAGGTGTGGGTGACGCGTGCGGGCGGTGGCATTGGGGCCTTCGGTGAAGCCCCCTTTGGGGCCACGACACGCGTGCGGGGTGTGCTGGAATGAGCGTGGGTGACGCATGCGGGCGGTGACACTGGGGTCTTCGGTGAAGCTTCCCATGGGGCCACGAAGCGTGTGAGGGGTGTGACGACATGGGTGTGAGTGACGCATGCGGGCGGTGGCACTGGGGCCTTCGGTGGAGCTCACTATGGGGCCACGAAACGTGTGAGGGGTGTACCGAAATTGGTGTGGGTAAGGCATGCGGGCTGTGGCACCGGGGCCTTCGGTGGAGCTCCCTGGGAGGAGGAGGAGGAGGAGGAGGAGGAGGAGGAGGAGGAGGAGGATGAGGAGGAGGAGGAGGAGGAGGAGGAGAGGAGGAGGAGGAGGAGGAGAGGGAGGAGGGGAGGGGGGAGGAGGGAGGAGGGAGGAGGAGGGAGGGCTCGCCGCCCACTCCTCTCGGGCCCTCTGCTCGGCCTCTTCGCGCGCCCTGCGCTCCGCCTCGGCGCGCGCCGCCTCCTCCAGCTCCGCCTCCGTGCGGGCGCGGAGCTCCGCCGCCTCGCTGGCGAGGCGCGCCGCTGCGGCCTCCCAGGGGCTCTCTCGGCGATGCGGTGGCGGGCAGTGGACAACGAACCGTTGGATAGAAGGAGCCGGGCTTCGGTCGGGCCTGTCCCTCTACAGGTGGATCTTGGACGAAACAGTAAAGATAGTCCAAACATATACCCAAGACAAGTACCAGCAAATAGTATGAAAAAAACGTGCCCAGGCTGTTTTTGGACTATTTTTTGATTTTTCTCCTGTAGAGGGACGCGCCCGACTTGAATCCAGGCTGAAGGAACCGTTGGACAAAGGATCCAGGCTGAATGAACCGTCGCGGGGCCTCTGTGGACCTCCGCGGCCCTCTTGTAAACATGATCTCGGCCGGCTTTCATCCAGGCTTCGACTACCCCTCTTCGTCCTTTCGGTCAGATTTCGTCTAGGTTTGATCCACGTGTCGACCAAACCCGACGACACCCCCCAGCCCGCAAGGAATTTCGGGACCCTCAGGGGCTCCCACAGAGGACCACACGATCCGGGGCCTGGGAGCCGATGGACTACCCATGGAGCGACGAGACGGAGCGGGTCTTGCGCGAGATGGCACAGCGGCCTTGCGCCGGGCTTGTGCGAACGCCGTGGCGCGTTGGAAACGGGGGCGCTCACGCGTGACCTGACGCGGCCAGCTTGCGCGCGAATGTTGGCGCAGTCGGCCCCGTTGTCTTCCGTCGCTCTATTGAGGCTTGGCCATGGGTATCACCGCCGCCCTCATCAGATAAGGAATCCTCCAGGGTCTGAAGCCTCCTGGGCATATTCCTTAACGGAGGGCCCCCACCGTAGGGTGAGCGTTTTCTTATTCGGCGTTTCGACATTGGGCGGAAGGGGGGAGGGAGGGGGGGGGTCCCTCTGCTTGATGGGGCTGTTTGTAACAACGTGTCCGATGGGAGAGGGACTCCACCTGCTCGAAAAAGTCAACTCCATTGGGGGGGGGAGGGGGGGGTGTACGAGGGCCGGGGCCGATCGGAAAAACAACAGATAAGACAACGATCACATGGTTTTTCAGAGCCTGGTGCTCTTCTTCGATGTCGGTGCCCGGGGCCCGCTTTCGGGCCCCGGGGGGCCATCAAGAGTGGGTCCAGGGGGCAGCGCAGTGAACAGATCATGCCGTCGGAGATCTGCTCGGGAAGGGGACCAGCTCTGCACGGTTTCCCCCGGGGCCGTAGGCGTCCCGAGGAGGAGGAGGAGGAGGAGGAGGAGGAGGAGGAGGAGGAGGAGAAAAAGGAGGAGGAGGAGGATGAGGAGGAAAAGGAGGAGGAGGAGGAGGAGGAGGAGGAGGAGGAGGGGGAGGAGGAGGGGGAGGAGGAGGAGGAGGACGGGTCGCCTAAACCCTTCGGAGAAACCCTCCAACCAGCTCATGGGGGGTCATGTGGGGTCCAAAACCCGGATAGCAGGGCGCCAGAAGGGCAGGGAAAGGCCTTTCGAAGAACTACGGAAGGACCTGGAGAGAGCTTCCGAAGGACCTCTTCTGGAGAGCCTGCGGGCACGCGTACTGGGAAAAACGCTCAGAAGAGGCCTCTCGGGACACGCTGCAAGTTCAAGCAACTCGCCCCGGGGATTCCTGCAGGAAGCCAAAATGACCTCCGGGGCCACCCTGCAGCTCAGGGAGGGGACCAACTCAGGGGGGGGAAGCATCGACCTGGAGCTGGCGATGCTTCGCCGCCAGATGGGCGGCATGCCCCCGACAGCGAGGCCGCACGTTCCTGGACGGGGTGGGCTGTCGGGCCCATGGGTAAATGGGCGATTGGGGAATCGATGCGTCCTCCGCTGGGTCTGTCCCCCCCCCCTTCCTTATGTGACCCCTGCGCCTCGTCTGCCGCCTTCTGCGCGAGCAACTTCGGCTGTCGCACGCTCCTGTCCCAGACCGTGTGCGAGATCGCGGCCACGAGGAGCATCATCATACAGACCCCGCCGACGGTCGCGGCACCAGTGAGCGCTGGGCCTCGCTCTGATCCCGCAGACTGGCCCTGCGGGCTGCTGATGTGGAGCGCGCTGGACGGCGACATGACAGCACCTCTCGGGGGCACCGAAAAGGAAAGCCAAGAGGGGGGGTCCAGTACACCATGGAGAAAAGCGTGCGCGGACGAGAAGGGCCCAGGGAATGCATGGAGAGACGGGTGTTTGATAGCCGAGAGATCTGGCAGTCTTCATGGCCCCGGCCAGGATATCTACACATACAGAAAGGGCCAATCCACAATAAACCTTTCAGACCCCGGGGCGCCCATTGATGGTTAGCGTTGGAGCGTCACGCTGTCCGCTGCAAAACCGTCGAAGCCCAAGAAACCCAAGGCACTCTGGGGGCAAGCAAGGCATTTCTCGGCATGGCCTCCACTGTACGCACACCCGGTCTTCACCCTGGCCGTGACATCCACACATCCCAATCCTCACCCCCCTGCTCCTGCTAACGGCTGTAAGAGACGACGCCTGTCGCCGTGAACACCTGTCCTGCCACCTTCCCACGGCGAAACCCTGCGGGGAGGTGTCTCACTGCCCGGTCCTCCTCCCCATCTTCGGCGCCTGGTGGTTTTCGGGTCCCTGCTCGGGCATCCAACGGCCAGTCGGGACGATTCGGGCATCCCCGGGAAGCTCTCGACGAGGCACAGCTTCTGAAACGCACCCCAAGGCTGAAAAACCTCCAGGAACGGACGAACACGTAAGAAAATCTCCCGGGCAAGCCCTGCTCGAAAACATCCACACGTCCCCGTGTCCTCAATCCTCTCTCGCCGCCGCCGATACTTCGGGGCCCCAAAACCGTGTGGTGACCCCGAATCCCCACTGACTCACCACGCGGTGGGGTCATTACGGTGGAGGTGCTTGTATTTCTAACTCTATTCGGGGGCAACGGCCCGTGTTGACGAATTCATGCAATTCTGGGCTGAGCACGCATAGCAACCGCCGAGGCCGCCGTCGGCTGCGCTGGCGTCCAAGCCTCCGCTGGCGGCCGACGCGCACGTCCTCTGACGCCTGGCTGGCCGCTCATCCTCGCCGCCCTGAGCCGAGCTGGGGCCCGAGGCCGCGCACTCGCCGAGGTGGCCGCCCGCCTCCAGCCCCAGCCTCTGCCCAGCGGCTCCGCACCTCGGCCGTCGGCACCGCGAGCGATCCGAAGGCTTTCTTCGGCTTGGACCCTGGCAGCAGGCCGCGCTCAAGGTCGGCGCGCTTGCTCTCTCGATCCTTGGCGGGCTCTGCTGGTGGCGGCAACTGCGCACTCGGCGCGGAGCCATCGCCAGTGCACCATGGGCGTCCTCGCATACATGGAGCACGTGGTGAAGGCTAGGAACTCCCCCTCCTCGCCCTCCACGCGCCCCATCACCAGCTGGTGGGACCTGCCAAGGCTCGGCTCCAGGCGGCGGCGGCTGACCGAAGGCCGCGCTGTCGCCCGTCGCGGGTGGCGACTGGGTCCGAGCGGCCGCCCCCCTGTCGGCCACTTGCGTAGCGGCTGCTGAGCTGCTGGCCGGGCCCAGGCCGCAAGCGCTCGCCGACGCCGCTGCCGCGGGGCGCTTCCGCACAGGAGGGCCGCCCCCTCGCCCCGCCTCCTCGCTCCGCAGCGCTCGAGGCCGCCGCCGCTGCCGAACCCGCGTTCACGGCGGCGGCCGTCGCGCCTGGGGGGCCGCCTGCCGCCGCGCTGGGCTCGCTGGCCCCCCGCTCAGGCCCTCCGAAATCGAGGTCCTCGAGCGCCTCCGTCGGCCAGTAGTCCCTGGCCCCGTGGTCGGTGATGTGGACCTCGATCCCTGCCGCACACCTGGCCGCGTCTCGGGCTCGGGCTGGGAGACCCTCGAGCAGCGCAAGGTCGCCGTCGTCCGTCGCATGGAGCCCAGCGCCCATCTTGGCCCTGAGGTCGGCCAGGCGGTTCCCGCCCCTCTCCTTCGCCGTGGCCTCGCCGAGCCGAACCGCCGCCTCGAAGGTGCGGGCTGGGATGTGCCTCGCCGCGGCGCCATCGACCGCGTCGCCGGCCCGCGCCCGCAGGTGGGCGCGCAGCGAGGTCGGCCCCTGAGCACGCTGCAGTTTGCCGTTGAAGTCCACCGTGCCCTTGCAGTCGCTGAGGAGTTCGCGAGCCCCGATGGTCTCCCCCAATGCAACCACAGCCGCATAGTATTCACCAGCCCTCGCTGACTGGGTGGGCATCTCATGCGGCGGGACCGCCCCCCAGGCTCGCGCCAAGACCTGGCCCTCCTGAGACATCGCAATGACTGCACAGCCCGCGCTGCGGAGGGCGGGGAAGCGGCTGTTGATGCAGGGGCCGTCCGTGAACACCAGCGTGCCAGGCGGCGCCACCATGGGGCTCTCCCATCCAATCTGATGCCGCCCCCAGCGAGGCTGCCAAAGCGGTCTCTTCAACGCGGGGCCCGCGTCGACGAAGAGGCCCTGGGCGAACGGCTCTCCGAACCTTTCCCCGAGGTTGCGAGCAAAGATAGCCCCTTCCCTCAAGTCGGCTGGAAGACGATCTCTCCTCCATGCCGGCCAGGCTGGGCATCCGAAGTGCCGATGGAACATCGCCCCTGCCCCCCCCATGGCATGGGGGGCATGCGGGGCTGATGTCGGCCTTGCGCCTCGCGAGCCTCGCCAGGGGTCAATGGGGCAACGAGACCAGCCAGCGCAGGCAGCCCTTGTGGTGGCGGGTCCAGATCTCCGTGGTCCTCATGCCCAGCAGTTCGTTGACTGGCGACCACGCTGGAGGCAGCCGCCACGGCCAGAGCGATACGGTCCTCGTGCGGCACTCCTCCCTGGCGGCCGCCTTTCCGGTCGCTTCGCGGGCACGCTCTGACAGGAAGGCGGGGGGCCAGCGCCGCGCGTTGAACTCGACGCCCAGCTCGTCCTTGATGGCGAGGCCGCCCCGCGTAAGCTGCCGGCCTATGCGTTTCAGGGTGGGCGCCAGCGCCGCCACAGGGTCACGCACTGCCGACCATGGCCTCTGGCTGCGCTCCAGCCTGAGGCTGGGCTCAAGGCAAGCCTTGATCGCGGGGGGGCAGGCCCGGCGCGCCCAGGTCGCGCTGACGTAGGCCTGCACAGCCATGCACGTCGCGATGACCAGGGGGTCCTGGCGCCAGCCACCTGCGGACATTGCAACGCGAAGCTGAGCGCTGCTCCTGGGGCCAGCCGTCCTGCACTCTTGGCCGCCGCCACCCTCGGGGCCCGCGCGCGGCCAGGCGGCGCTCCAGAGGTAGCAGAGCCCCAGAGGGCTTTCGCCGTCTGCCCTGCCCTCACCACTTTAGCTCGTCGCAGCCCTGGGCCAAATCTCCGACCCAGGCGAGGCGCCTGCCGCGGGGCTGCAAGCGCCACTTGCGCGGTCACCCTGCGGTGGGCTCCCGCAGTCGCTTCGCCTCCAAGCTCACGGTGCCCCGGGGCGAACGCGTCCGCGGGTTCGAAGCGGCCAGCCCTCCAGCGCCAGCAGCGCCCTCTGCAGGTCGACCGACGACGCCGGCACCTTGGTCTTGCTCCAGTGGATGGGCAGGCGTTTGTCGCGCAGCATGGACACAACCCCTGTGGCGAACTGGCTGATTTGGCGATCTGCTTCGCGCCGAATGCCATGCGCCGCCGCATCGTCGATCAGGTTGACCACTCGTCCAACCTGGAGGAGGGCGCGACCGCGAAACAGCAAGTCGTGTGCAGAATCTGACGAGCCATCGTAGTCGCGCAGGAACAGCCTGCAATCACCGACCCTCTCGCACAGATCTCCTCGCTGATGGCGCCGCCCACCGCGGCGCGCCCGGGGCCCGCGTGGGCAACGCAGGGCGCCTTCGCCAGACCAGGGCTGAAGCCGCTAGCCTCTGCCGCCCAGAGGAGCAGCTGATCAATCCATTCGTGGAGCTTGCTGATATCGAAGTAGACGGACGCCCCTTCGACGCCCTTCCAGCGCGCCAGCCCGAGGTAGAGGTCGTGCAAGTAGGCCGCCCTGTCGCAGCTGGTATCGGAGCTGCCGCCCCAGATCTCGGGCAACTCGTGGTCGGTCTCCCATCTGGTGCAATGCCGTCTGCGCATGCGACTCCACAGCCCCAGCCAGAAGGGCATCATACCCATGGGCATCCTGCCGCCGTCGGGCTTCGCCAGGAATGCGATCAGCGTCGCGAAGAGGCCCGGGGGTCTGGGATCGCGCTCCCAGGTCGAAGGCAGCGCCGCTGCGCGGGCCACAAACGGTTGGCCCAAGCGCAGCAGCAGTCGCGGGTGGAAGCCGTCCAAGCCCAAGGCGGTCTTCTTGATGGGGGTCTTGGCCGCCTCGATCCCCCCCCCCCCTGCGACGGCAGGCAGGTCCATGGTCGCTGCCCAGCTCTCAGGCGGCAGAGGTCCACTGAGCGTTCTTGCCCTGCCGCGGCGCATCGGCGGCCCTCCTGCCCACCCAAAGCCGCTCGATTGGCGTCTGGTCCAGGGCGGCTTGGCCAACCGGCGGGACAGGCGGGGCCCCTGCCCGGCTCCCCTCGCCCAGGACTCAGAACTTCCCCTCGAGCTGCCGCTTGCTGGCTGCATGCGCTCCGCTGCCTCCTGCGGCCAGGGCGTCGCCCACAAACTCCGCCCAGCGGCGCCGCGCGAGATGGGTGTAAGACTTGGCGCGGTTGCCTGTGGCAGCCTGGATGGCCCCTCAAGAAGAAGTCGGTGTCCGCGTGGACGCCTCGACTTCTTCCAGCAGCGGCCGCGTGCTCGCGGACGCGAACATGTCGCAGCCCTGCTGGGTGAAGTGCGGTGCCGGAGCGAGGGCGGCCTCCTTCAGATGCCCCATGTGGGCCCGGTGCCCTGGCGGCGGAGCCAGCGCCGCTGCTGCCGCCGACAACTGCCTCGAGAGCCTCTGCAGGGACATCCAGAGCCTTGTGAGCGGGCTGACCTTCCTGGCCGTCTCGGTGCGCCAGAGGCCCTTCTGGCGCTTCTGGGCGCGGACGCCGCGAGACCTGCCACGGTGGGCTCCGCCATCCTGAATCTCGAACAGCCTGATCAGGTGCGCCTCCGCCACGTCGAACTCGCGCGCCGCTTCGTCGGGAAGGCCTCGAGCATCCCGAAGGGGAGCCTGCCGCTGCACTTCTTTGGCAAGGTCAGCCGCTCGAGCCTTCGCCTCAGCGGACACCTTCTGCTCGACGAACCTCCGCGGCGCCCAACTTCGCGAAGGAGAGACGCACTGGCGCGCGCGGGTGCGTCTTCGTCGGCCGCATAGCCTCGACCTGGGGCGCGAGCGCCGTCAGCGTAGCCGAGACGACGAAGTAGTCGTACTTCTTGCCGTTGCAAGTCGGCTGCGGCGACTCAAGCACTGCTCCTCCGACCGAACGAGGCCGCCACGATTCCGACAGCTCCTGCGGCTCCATGTTCCAGTTCCCGCCACGCGAAGGGCTCGCTAGCGGCGTTGAGAAACTCCTGGGCCATGCCGAGCAGCTCGAGGTTGACCCCCGCTAGCTTCGTGGAGCGTCCCAGGTAGACGCTGGCCACCACGACCGCGAAGTCGCCGAAGGCGACCCGACGCGCGATCGCCCGTTGCGAGAGGTCTCCCCAGTCCTGCTCGATTTGCGCCGCCCCCCTGAACCTCGCCGTCAGGGCACCGACCCCCGACGAGACCTCCTGCGCCAGCTGGCCCGCGCGCTTGCAGGGGCCGAAAGCCGCCTGGAAAACCATGCCTCGAACACCAGCTCCGCGCCGAAGAAGTCGTGGACGCCCTTGTGGAAGGGGTCTCCTGCACCAGGAAGACATCGTCCCAGGCGCCCCCGTCTCGGATCTGCTCGATCGCCGTTCTGGTCTCTGCCCGGGTGGAGCCGTTGATCGTGATCAACCTGGCCGCCGATGCCGCTCGTGGGAGCGCCTCGGCCAATTCGAGCTGGAACGCTCTGCCAGACTGCCTCGTGCTGCCGGGGCTAAAGCTGCAGCTTCTCGCCAGCGGCCGCCGCAGCGTGGCCCGAAGGCACCGTCGTCACAGGGCCTGGGTCGCGCGCCTCTGCCACCAGCTCGCGCACAGCGCTCCTCGGCACCCGGGACCGCGGCCCCGAGGCTGGCGGGGGGCGCTCCACCTGCCAGCGCTCAGCGGCTGGCGCCGCCCCGCCCGCTAGGTCCAGGTCTGAGTCGGAGTCGAGCTCGCCGCCATCGACGGGGCAGGCGTCGCTCCAACGTTCGCGGGCGCTGGTGGCTGGTGAACTCTCGCGGTCTGCAAATTGTCCTTCGACTGCCTGCAACTGCTGGGTGGTCGACCGCCACGCGCCAGCAATGTTGCCCGCCTGGCGCGCCGTCGGAAAGGTCCGCAACTGGAAGAACAGCCCCCGCACAGCCTGCAGGCCGTCCTGCGAGACCTGCAACCGCTCCTGCTTGATCATCGCTGCTGCCGCCTCCTCCTCCAGATCGGCCACCTTCTCTCGTGCCTTGGTGCGGCGCTCCTCGGCCTCCGCCAGCCGATCTGCCGCTGCCTGCGCTGCCTCTTCTGCTGCTGCCACCGCGGCGTCGGCCGCCTCGAGCGCCTTTGCGTGCGGCCGCCGCCCAACGCTCTGCCTTGCTGGCCCTGTTGGCTGCCCCGTGCAAGCGTGCCGCGGGGGACAGGCCGGCCTCCTTTGTCGCGAGCCAGGTCGGCGGCAGCCCGGTCTTTCTTGGCACGACGGGCGGCCGGCCGCTCAGCCGCAAAAGCATCTCCCTCGCCGCCGAGGCTGGAGCAGGCCTCCAGGTGGGCGATGGCTCGCTCCAGCTCCGCCAGGCGGGACCCCTTTCGGCTGGCTGCCTCCACTCGGGCTGCCCTTGCTGCTGCCGCCGACGCTGCTGCCCGCGTCCGCGGCCTTGCTGGCCCAGGCTGCGGCTGCGGCTCGGGCCTTGCGGCGCCCCTTCTTGCCCTTGCCCGCCTTGACGAAGCCTTCAGCGTCGGGCACAGGTTGGCCGTCGCCCGCCGAACCTCGCGCCCGAGCCCAGGGCGGGGCAACGGCGTGGCAGCCAAGAGCCGCCCTCTGGTTGCGCAGGACAACTGCCCGCAGGAGCAGACACAGCACGCTCCATTCCCGCCGCCGCCGCCAACAGCGCCGCAGCCCCTCGCCTTTTGAGCGCCGCGGACGACTCGCGGTAGTCGGACGCTCCATGACCTTGAACAAAAATGGCTACGGACCGGTGGAGGTTTGAGATAAAGATACCTTCGATAAGGAGCCCAGGGTCTCGCCATCGATGGGGCGCAAATCTGGACCACCCACCTTTCCTTGAAACAACGAGGAATGCGCCGGGGCCTGGGCCCCACGAAGACGTTCCTCATCCAATGCCGCCGCCATGCACCGTTTGGGGGCACCCGAAGCAATTGGGCGTTACATCGTGGGGGGCGAAACGTCAGGGGCGAGGGGGCGGGTGCCCTTCGTTCCCATTCCTGGGCTCCAGGGGACCCCTTTAGGGCACCTACGGTGCACGACAGGTGCACGTTTCCCCGCCCCCATTCACCGCCCCTTCATTCATTCTACGCCCACCCATGGTCTTAGGTCGGGCATGTCCCCCTACAGGCAATTTTTGGAGGAACAATTTTCAAATAATCAAAACACACTCGGAAATGGGCGTGGATAGTCGCACAATCGTCCCCATATTATTCTTGGAGTATTTTTGCAAAATCCTCCTGTAGTAGAAAAAGAAACAACGCTATAAACATGCATGTTTGGCGCCCCGCGCGGATTTGTGGGATTCGCGCTGGGCCCCCCTCCCCGGCGCGCGGGGCGCGCCAGGGGCGGCGCCAGAGGCGCCGCCACTGGGCCCGGGCGCGGTTCCAAAAACTCCGCGCGGAGCGCCAACAAAAATATGTTTGCTTGGTTTTCGCCCTCTTCGATGTAGAGGCGGCGTGCCAGACTTGCGCGTCGTTCATTTCTCATCGTGCTCATGTCTGATTGGGTTCGCTTCTAATTGTTCCTGGCCCCCCAGTGGCCAGGAAGAGGCCCAGGATGGAACAGTTAGAAACGAGAGGGTCTTGGCCCCCAAAAGTATGAAAGACCTTCCGAAGAACTAGACGTGAACAGTGTGTAACCCTACGCCCACCCGTAGTCGACCCCCTGTGCCCGTGGCCTTTGCTGGCACTGGGCGCTGATTCGCGGGCCCCGAGGCCCGCGCCCGCTGCCCGCCGGTGGGCATGGCGGGGCACAGAGAGCCCCGGCGCACCGCTGTCGACATCGGCGACAAGCATCGAGCTGTCGTCAGGTCGGGCATGTTCTCCTACAGGGAGATCTTGGACGAAACAGAAACCGCGTTTATTTCTCGCCCCACGGCCAGGGGGGCGCCGACCCACTCAGCAGACCAATGGCAACCTCACCGCGCCCGTGAAATGGGCCCCGAGGTCCAGCCAGAACAACCCAGCGGACAACAAATTGTGTCGGCCACGCTCGATACTGGGTGAAACGTGTTTATCCCGCGAAGCGAATGGCCGGATAATGTTGCATGCCTGAAGTGCTCCACACTCCGGCTGTCGATATAATATGGTACATGAGTCCTCTGGTGTGGCACGCGGGCCGAAGGCCCAAGGGCGCAATTACCCGCCAAACAAGGAGAGGGGAGAGGACAGCCGAAGAGGACGCGGCACAACGGGGAGGAGGGAGAGGAGGCAAGAACGGTAAATTCAATAGTCAGAACTATACGATGTGACCAAAGCGTCGTTCTAAGCGCCAGTGAACAACTGCGCGAATTTCCGCCCCCTGTCACGGCCTGCGGCGGCTGCTGCGGATTATCCTGCGGCGTCAAGGCCGACCAAACTCCAACATCCGCGAGGAGGCGGAGCCGCCAAGCCATGACGCGCTGGAGGGCTACCAGGAGCAACCAGCTGAGCACGGAAAGAAACGGCACGCACAGGGAAAGGAGGAGGGGCAGGAGGAAAGAGGGGACGGCGGCAGAGCGAGGGCGACAGCAAGTAACAACATAACCAAACCATGCCCAAACATAGTCACAACATAATCGAAACATATGCCAACACATAATCAAAACAGAGGCAAACATGGACAAACCATAAAACGCATACATCACATATGCAAACATGGTCCAACATACTCCGGCACGGAGCCGGAGCGCCAGCGCGCGCGCCACACCAGGCACACAGCCCAGTCTCTTTTCTTCACGCATCGCTGTCGGAAGGGCGATTGTCCATGGCCTCGAGACCAGCGTCCCGCTTGAGAGACTATACGGGCAAATTATCTATGAAGGCAGCGCTCCGCCAGCCGCCCGCGCGAAGTGTCTCGGCCTGGGGCGGGGCCGGCCCCTGTCTCGACTACGTCGAGCGCGCGTCCACGGCGGAGCGCCTTCGCGTCGAATTCCTCCGGGCGCGCTGTCGCTGCCCCGGCCGCGATCCGGATGGCGGCCGCGGCGTCCGCGGGAGAGGAGCTCGCGAAGGCCTGCGTGCCGCTTTCTCGAAGAAAGCGCCGAAGACGCGCGCTGGACACGCGCCTTTTGCCGCCCTCGGTACGGCGCCAGCACTTGCGCCAAATTGCCGCAGGCCGTTCCGAATTCTTGCGCCGCTGCAATTGCAAACCTAACGCCTCTGCTGAGAAGCGCACCGATGCCCGGTGCTGCTCGCTGAATGCCGAGCCATCGAAGACAGCGGTCACGCCCTCATTTGGTAGGCGCAACGGAAACACGTGTCCGAAACACATGGGCCTCGCCACGTCTCCTCTGACAGACGCGGCCGCCGGGGCCGGGGCGCTCGCTTCAACGATTCTGGACAGGAAAGCGTGCTGCACAAAACGTTTGATTCTCGGGGACGTCGGGCACCTCCTCGCGACGCCCAATCGCGCCCGCTTCACGGAGCGATCATCGAAGGCGGCCGTCGACACCGAGAACAGCTCGGGTGCCATGCGCGAGTGCCCGCAGCAATTAGCGAACGTGCCGCTCGCGCGGAACAGCGCACTGGCGATCTGGAGGCCCCCCGCGCTGATGGGAAAGGGGGAATCCCGCCCAAGGACGCACTTTGAGAAGCGTAACCACCATCGCGCTGCGGACGCCCAGCTCTGCGCTGATCGAGGACAACTGCCAGGCGCCGCATCCAAGCGCGCCCTCGCGGCGAAGCGCCGGCGTTCGGGCGGGCGCATTACAGCGGCGCCGTCGAGGGCGCGTCGCGGCCCCTCACTGGGCGCGTTTAATTGGTTTGCGCACGAAACAGCATACTCAACCACGGCCTCGACCGCTCCCCGAGCTCGCGAGCCCTCCGCAGGATCGCCGTGCGCGTCGCCAGGGCACAACGCCGCGCGCATTTGTTCTGGCGCCGTCGCCCCAGCATCGCCCCCGCGCCTCGGCCGCCAACCTGGCGGCGGCCCCGGCGGAGGCTGCGGGCGCACAGCGACGCCCTCGCCAATGCCGGCGGGCGGAGGGCCGGGGGGGGATCTGGCCTCGGGCGATCCTGCCTTTCACCATGCGCCGCCAGGGCCCCGGCGGCCGGGGGGCGCGCGGGTGGCGCTGCTTCTGCTTCGTTGCAACGCTTGTACCGACCGAAAGAGAACCCCATCGAGAGCCAGCATGCCCCTCTGTATCCTCGATTCGTTGATGGCCCTTCACGCGGGCACAGCGCGCGGTGGTTAGCGGCCCGCGGGCGCGCCGCCTGGTTACTACATCGCTGCTGCGCGGTGATAGTTGAGGCCGACTGAAGTCGGCGTCGACGTCTGCCAAATGCTCCCAGCGAAGCACATTCTGCAATTTGAGATACGCGAAAAGCTCGACGTAAGAAGGCAAGCGGCTGGCGTCGCAAATCGCACACGAAGCCACTGGGCGAAGATCGACGCGTCCAACATCTCCCCGCGCGTCTCCGCGTTGCGAGGCTCGCGCGGGAAAGCATGCGACGCGCGCGCCCCCGCGCCGCCCAACCGGAGCAGGCGGCAGCACTCAGCGGGCCGTTGCGAGGGAGGCCCACTGCTGAGGGGCGAAGAAACGATCGCCCAGCGTGGGTTCTACACAAGTCGCGCCCAAGCGGCGCACCAGGTCGTAATCTTCCCGCGACAGCGGATCTGCGATATTCGAAGCCGAGGGCGCCCGATGGACCCACGCGGATGCCGAGACTTCGGCAGCCAGCGCTCATGCCCCGTGCACGAGGCAGGCGCGGTCAAAATGGCGCGCGGATCCTCGCGCCACCGCCTGCTCTGCTCCGCGGTTGTCTGAAAAATCTCTAGCGCCGGTTCGACGACAGATGTCTGAAAGACGACATGGCCACAGCGATGGCCAATAGCTCCAGGCTCATAATATGATTGTCGCCGCGCTGCCCGAACAGCCGCAACGCCGCGGCGTCCGGCGCCCACTCTGTGTGCCACTCGGTCGTGCGCGAACAGCGCCGCCGCCGCGCGCGGCGAGGTGCTCCGCGCATCGGCAAACAAATGCGCCGCGTCCAGAGGGCGGGCTGTCCACTCCGCCACTTCGTTGTTGTCCGCGCCCAGCACTTCGCGCCACCACTCGAACGCTATGCGCAGCGGAGTCTTGACGCGAGAGCCGCAGCCGTGCTGCTGCGCGAATAACGGTCGCAGAAAAGCTCTGCCCAGCCGCTTGGACAGCGACTGACTGGCCCAGGATAGTGCCCTGGCCAGCTTCGACGCCGCGCCCGGCTCGAGTTTTCCTGATTCGAGCGCGCGAGTGATCGCGCCAGCCCACTTGCGCGCCTTGTCCTCCGACGGGGCGCAATTGGCGCCCGCGCCGGAGAAGGCGGAGTGAACCCCCAGCAAGACAAGCTCGTTGCCCCACTCGAGCTTGCCGCTGGCAACGCTGCCGGGCCCAAAGATGGCACGCGCCAGCCGCGCGAAAACTTCCATGGCACGCGCTGCCGATTTCGCGGCATCAGGGGCAAAGTAATCGTCGACATGCCGCCCCGCGGGGGTCCGCGGCAGACGCCGCGCTGCGCGCCGAAGGAAAGCGGCAACTCGGCCCCGACCGTGCACGGACCCAGACGCTCCGAAAGGGGGGCGCATAATGCTGCGAGACCCACGGACGGCCGCCCGCCAGGAATGCGCTCCACGCCGCGCACGCGTGGCCTGGGGCGAGCGGGATGCGCCTGCACGCGGCGTCAATATCCGCTTTCCACAGGGCCGGCGCCACGCCGCGCGCTTCAAAGAAGGCGCGGCGCGCCGCAATCACACGAGCGACCCCGTCAACGACAAGTTTCTCCCCGGGCAGCGTCGCTTCCGCAATGCTGGCGCGAGTGCCGTCATCGACGGGCCGGATTTTGACGCCCCCATCTGGCCTGCGCTGCGCCGCGGGAAATCTCGGCAGCAAACGCGCGTCATCGCCGACGACTCGCGCGATCTCGGCAGCAGTCGCCGACGCCAGAAAAGCAATCGGCCGCGACATTCGCCCTAGACTAGCGCCCTCGCGCGTCTTCTCTAGGAGCGCGCTCGCCCCCTCGGATTCGCGCATTGGCTTAGAATCTTTTGGTTATGCGCCACCGCGCCCAAGCGCAGTGCGGCAACGTCCGGGCAGGCGCCCCTTGCGCGAGAATGCCAGTCCCCGTCGACGGCGGCGCTCCCGCGATTGGCGCGCCCTCCGCGAAGCAATGCACAACGCCTGTGTCTCCGTATTCCGACCGCGCTACGAGCGCACGGAGCAACGGGACGTTAACTTTGCGAATAATCTGCTCGAGTTGCGGTGGCGCCTGCCTGCGCCATTCCTCCGCCTCGCCGCTGTCTTCAAACGAGCGGCCAAGGCGTTCAATCTCGCGGATCCAACACCCCCTCGCGCGCGCAACATCGCAGGGGCCGGACGCCGCGGACCGCGCGAAGATGCCGCGAATTTCTTTATCGGCAACAGGGAAAGCCGGCTGCGCGTGGTCAGATCCCAACGCGCCGCGCGTGAATTCGAGTTTCGGCATGTCCTCGGCTGCGCCCGCCGATGACGCCTCATGCAGCAATGGCGCAGAATGTGCCTGCGCCTCCCCTTGCACATTGTCAGCGCGGTCTGGAGTCTCGCATCGCCCCCCGGCACTCACGTCGCGCGCGGCAGCGCTCATTCGCTGGGCAGCTGGCTCCTCCATCGCGCTCTGCACTGGCCCGATGCCTGGCGAGCGGCGCGAACGCGGTCGGCAGGCGTGGCCCCCCCGCGACTCTGAACTCGCCTCGCGGGCGCTTGACGCGCTGCTCGGGCGTCCTCGGTGCCGCCAGGTTGCCGCTCTTGCCCTC